GTTTGAGAAACTCCGGTTTCAAACCCAGCTGCCCTCAGTATGCCACAAGGTAATTTAATTAGTCCTCCTTGTGTCGAGAAATCACCACCGCGTAACTGGCGGAACATGTATAAGAAACCCCTTAACCAACGCCTACATATTTGTGACATCAAGTCATTATCGAAGAATCCTGCATGTGCCCTCGAGAGAGACCCTTTTAAATGATGCGTTTGCATTCAGGGCTTCGGTCTATGGTGTGCCTGCATCCACCCCGGAGTAATGCGCTTGCCTCAAACTCCTGAAAGGAGGTTATCTAGGGGATACTATAGAGGAGTAATATAAGGGTTACTATGAAGGGGGATACTAGGAGTTTAGACTATAGCCCACATGCGGACATCCTGTTCGTTTATCTCCTTGCTTGGAAGTCTTGAAGCTGGGTGGCCCTTCTTCAAAGGTGCGGTATCAATCTGGGGTAATGTAGACCCATGATTAATAAACCCTCTCCATTTAAGGATGTAAATATTAAGATCCCTAGTATAACCCCTATTAAGGGGAGGGGGTTATTAAATCATGGGTCTGGGTTACAGTCAATTTGAGGCTAACCGGGAACACTGTCCGCGCAACCCCTCTGCACACTTCCCTCCAAGTTCCGCACAGGCAAGACTGTCGATTCAAGGGCCGCGCCACAGAGTCATCAAAGCTGTAAAGCACGGATGTCTCTACAACCCAACTTCCGGTCTCTGCTGCTCAAGGGGTGCGCTTCTCAGTCGAAGGGTCGTGTTTTGGGAGTCTGCCTTTGACGTGAAGAAGAAGAAGGCCCAGGGTGCTTCGGGCTTTGCACGAAGGATATGCGTTGGCAGTATGTGCCCTTGCGGTTCGAAGCCCTAATTCCTGGAATGCAACACGGTGATCATTTCGCTTGGCCTTGCAAAGATCATACCACCTTAGATCGGATAGCCTCTGCGACAATCTCGTGAAATCGGAAGCGTTGCAAAGTTTCCCCATCCACGATGCGTAAGGGGCAGCACCTGAAGTCTCCAAGCACCGCAACCCTCACAAAACCAAACGAACAAGGAACATGCGTGATGAGGATGCCGAAGCCAAGCCACACGGTTGAGGGTTAAGGGTTCCCCTCCAAATCCTACAAGGCTCTCAATGCCTAAGCCGCAATAATCCTGGTGTTTGCACCGTCAAACGTATGGCGGTGGGGGGGAGGTTTAGCTTCTTGGGCCTGGAACTTAAGGATTTACAGTTCTGAGCACCAAGTGCATGTCAGGGAGCTCAAAATCCATGGCCACCGTCAGAAAGTGTTGCAGCTCAAGCATGTCCTCCCAGAGCGCGGATGGTCACGTGTTTCAAGGACAATTAAGGGTCTAGGATTGAAAGTTACTATTGTGCCTCATGTGCCCCTGTTAGAGACGCACTGTGCAACGCCCTGAACCGTCAGAATTTCACTTCAAGTGATTCTGGCATCCTGAACAACTATCAACGAACGGTGGGGGATCCGGTTCCGGTCTTGGGAAGTAACCCCTGTACAAGTCTAGCTTCCATTTGATTTGCCATCTTCTTGTCTAGTTGGTTCTGCATTGTTGCGGCCGTATCCCTAAATTCTCATCCCTAGACCCTACTCCCTAGGCCCATCCCTATAAACCTGAATCCCTCAACGGGGCAAAAAACTGAAAACCCTACAACTAGCTCCTGGCGCGGGAAGAAGAGTCCGTGAGGACGCAGGGCTTCGAGCTTCGAAATGGCCTGGCAACAGGGAAAGGGGTGAGGCTCTGTGGCGGCAGCCTCCTGATACGGTTTAAGGTTTAAGGCTTGAGCATGGGATTTAGGGCTTACGCTTTAAGGGTCATGGCTCCAACCTAGGAATGCTCTGAGTCAACCCAACGCAGACCGAACAGCAGGAGATGTAACTACCTAAAGAAAAAGGAGACCAGGCGGAGACAGATGGAGACAAGGGCTGCAGAAACCTGGCCGAAGCCTTCGGCCAACAGGACTTTCTTCATCTCACTGGTCGTGAGTATGGAATGAAGGAATGGAAAACAATCTGGAAACTGCTCTGATTTTGAAGATTCCTTGAAAGTATCCGCGCCTCCATTTGGAGAAGCAAAGGCCCCCTACTGGAAAGCTGCCTGAGCACCCTTAATCACTTGTGGCAACCTTTCAAACCCTAGGGCCCTAAGGATATATGCAGGGAATATGTGGGGGCTGGGGGGATTATGTAGGGATTGGCGGTAGAAGCCCCCCTATTTGTGAGAGCCTCCTGCAGCCACACAAGGTACCCTGAGGAAGACTTTGGCGGGATACTTGGGAGGACTTGTCTAAGCATCTACCTCACTATGCCGCAGATATTGCAGCGCCCTGTAGTGTCCCCCAAGTGTGTGTACGTGTAACAATATGCGACACACATGTACCACTGATAAGGTTCCCATACATGACTGCTGTACTGCTGTGAATGTATGCGCATGGCATGTCCCCACCCCCTATGCACATGAACCCCAAGCCCCCAAATAAACCCGAAACCCTACACCCTAAATCCCCATATAAACCCGAAACTCTACACCCTAAACCATAAACCCAGAACCCTGACTTGTGAACCGTAAACCCTAAACTCCGAACCTTGAACCCNNAACCCCCCGAACCCCCCGAACCCCCCGAACCCCATCCCCAACCAAACCACCCCCAACAAACCCCCAAACCCCCAAACCCCCACACCCCCCAAAACCCCAAAACCCCAAAACCCCAAGCCCAAACCCTCAAACCCCAAACCCCCAACCGAACCCCCAACCAAACCCCCCAAACCCCCCAATCCCCCCAAATTTACAGGACGCGTGGGGCCTGGCGCAAGACCTCCGACTCGTCGGGCACGCCCAAGAAGCGAGCCAGGCCTGCAAGTGCAATTATATGCGGGGGCTTCCTAAAATTAAGGTTTAGGGTTTAGGGCTTGGGGGTCAGGGTTTTAAGGTTTAGGGTTTAGGGTTTATTGGGGTTTGGGGCTAGTTCTGGTCGGGTTTCTAGCGAAACTCTAGCGGGTTTCTAGCGAAAGTCTGACAGTTCTTACTGAAATTCGGGGCGTCACGCTTTAAAGACGTTTCAGCTCTTCGGGCGGCACGCTTTGGTCACGTTTGGGGCTGTTTTTGTCACGCTTTGGGGGTTGGAAGCCTCGTGCCCAAAAGGTGCCGCCATTGCTCTTCTGCAAAAGGCGCCGCATGACCAAAGTGTGCCCTGGAAGTCTCGTGCCTAAAAGGTGCCGCCCGTGCTCTTCTGCAAGAGGCGCGGCGTGACCAAACCGTGCCACAGGGGGCCGTGACGGAAGTGTGCCGCCAACGCTCTAGAGGGTCTCTGTGACCAAAACGTGACACGGGAAATTTGCCTCTTTCACGCACCCATGCAAGATTCGGCAAATTGTCGATGTTCACACATGTGCCTTAACTGAAAACGATGACTCATATGTTTCCATGCACCCATCCAGTGCAATGCCAAGACTCGGCAAATTGTCGATGATCACACATGTGCCTTCATTGAAGACGATGACTCATATGTTTCCATGCACCCGTTCAGTGCAATCCAAAAATTCGGCAAATTATCAATGATCACACATGTGCCTTAATTGGAAACGATGGGTCATGTGCTTCCATGCACCATGCTATGACGGGCAGCAGTCCCACGCACAGAGGTTTAAGTAAATTGGCTGTTTGGACTCTTGGCAGGGTTTTCAAGTGCGCTAGTCCCCTGGCAAGGCATGGCGTACCATTGGGACGGCAGTGGTGGACGAAAAAAAGAAAACCATTGAGGAATGCAGGCCGGTGCACCTATGTAAGCCAGCGACCTCAATTCATCTCTATCCTTGAGGGTTTAGGGTTCAGGGCTTAGAGTTTCCTAAAATTAGGGGTACCATTTTGGGGGTCCTTATAGTAAGGATTACGGTATTTTGGGGGTCTAAATTATTGGGGCCCCCTTTTGGGGCTACCATAAATCACACCGCTGAGGATTTCGGTTTAGCTTTGGGGTTTGGGGTTGCAAGTTTAGGGTTTGGGGCTGATGGACTGGGTTAGCGTGTAATGTTTAAGGATTCAGGTTTAGCGTTTAGGTATAATTGCAATCTCCTCCATACCGCTAGTAATACATACTTCCAACAGAGTACCGCTTGATAGTAGGGGAATGTTTGTTGTTACAGGGGTTGGGGGTTTATTGGGGAGGGGATTACTGTTCTCGTCTAAAAAACCATAGAATCACACTCCTAAACACGTTATGGCTCAGTGTTAAAGATACCGACATTTCCATAGATAGAAGAATAGCAATACATATTAAGCATTGTTCTCATCTTTATGAGCATGTTGACTTTTGTTGTTTCTATTTAGAGTTTGGGGTCACCAGTGTGTACGTGTTCCGGCTCACTGGTGTTTCATGGGGCAATGGCGAATGGGGTGCAATGACCGGAATCCATTCCTCCAGTACCTACTGACCACACCCTGAGCCCTTAGCCCTAATCCCTGATCCATTTTGACTGGCACCTCGAGCCCTAAACCCTAAACCTTCACCGGCAGTTCTAGCAAGCAACCCCTTCGCGTTGATCACGGACGATCTTGGTGCCGGTTGTCCATGTCGAGGCTCAAGGTTTCAGCGCTACTGGGGTTTAGGGTGTAGGGTGTAGGGGTCAAAAGGGAATAAAGGAATATATTGTATAGGGTTATATAGGGACAACAACCCAAAGATACCCACAGTAAATTGAGTTTTTTTTGCGTTGAGGCTTGTTTCGGCGGTGGTCCCGGTTCCAGGCTCTGATGTGGATTGAAGAGATTTCTATGCGTAGACGGTGGACACTTTCTGGAATCTAGAGCAGCCAGGGCCTGACCCTGACAAAAAGAAAACCGTACGGCCGGAAACACCAGCACTCGAGGCACTAATACATCTGCTAGTTGATCGGTTCCGCGGCGCTGGCCAGTTTCATCGGAACCCCCATCCGAACAACGCAAGATTTTGGGGGGAAAGAGACGTCCTCAATCCGACCAAGATCATCAAGTGGGTGGGCGGTCTGTGGGCAACATGCCACTCCATACGTCCTGCGGTGGCTTTTGCAGAGCGTTTACAGACTGTAAACAACTGAAATCCCATACCCTTGATCCTCTTGGGCCTCGCAAAGCCACATCGGGCTCCGCCACGAAGTCCTCCACGAAAAAGATCTTGACTTTATCCGGCTGCCTGGCAACTCTCTTTGGCAAGGTCTAGGGTTCTTTAGGCTTTGAGGCTTAGTGGATCGAGACCTGCCAATAATGGAACCCAAAAGAAGAATGCAGGAGTGCTTGGGTGTGAAAGCGTTTTTCTGCGCATGATCTTCCGGGGAAATGCGGGGATTGACTGGCGAAGCAATCATAGGTCAGCACACACTGCTCCAGCAGGCACTGAAGGATTCTCGGACTTATGGCTTGCCGTCAAGATTTTGGCTTGCAGGCGGTTGCAGCCTCCGCTCGACAACTGTCTAGAAAAGGATATTACAGGAGGCCCTGAATTCTGTCAGCAGCATGGAAACCCAATCACCTCTTGGGTTTGTAGGCTGCGGCCTCCAGGCGTGGGATCGACAGGGATCCCAAGAATGCAAATAAAGGTAAGGATTCTTCCCATGCAGGGAAGGTTCTTCATCACTGTTGTGCATTAATGGATTTCTAGCTTCCTATAACCCCAAATATATGCAAAACATATCCCCCAAAATCCCCTATATATCCCCTGTATATCCCCTAGTTATGATGTTGCAGGAAGATGGCTTGGCTACCTCGCTGTGGAGTTGCCCTGCAACAACTTGCTTAGGGCGCACCTGGCTCTGCATGGAGTTCTGAGGAGTACCCGCCTCTCAAATGCAAGAGACCCCGCCATGCAAACCCAAACAGAAAGACTTACCATGAAAACAGCTCGCACCCCTAGCCCCGAAGTCTGAGGCCCCAAGCCATATGAAAGATTAGAAAAACTCTGAAAGAAGGTCTCCTTCCTGTTATCCTGCCTGCTGCCCATTCGCTTCTACTCAACACTCAGAGACATGATTAATGTTGAGATTTCCACTTCTACACCCACATGTAATCTCATTACAATCCTTAGCAGCCTCCATCTGAACCCTGAATACTAAACCCTGAATCTTAAAATACACACTAATCCCCGAACCCTAGACTCTGAACCAGGCCTGTACTCCTCCACCGCCCAACGGGCCAAGCGCTGCATTTCCTCACCGGAGAGACTGCAGTCCTGCAATGGGCAAATAATGAAAAATCAATTGGAAAGCGTAATGGAAACCACTCTATAAATAGAGATGTACGTGTGAATATATATATATATAGGGTTACATAATACATAGGCATATATGGGGATATTACTCCAATAATGGAGAATCGAATGGAAAATGAAATGGAAACTCCCAATACGCACAGAGTGGGCTTACCTTGGGCGTTATGAGGAACATCGAGGTTGCGCGCTGAATCCCGGATTTAGCTAGGCATATTATGGAACACTAATCCTATCTACAGTAGTAATAATATGAGACTAAAGGAGATTGCTTGCTTGTCGCTTGGATTGCGTCTTTGGATTTTACGTTTGGGCTTCAGGGTTTGGGGCTTATTTGGGATGTCAGGGGGACTTGGTATAATAAGAATAATAATAGGGATTCCTTGGGATGTTGCTTATGGGGGTTATATGTATACTTACTCAGTCCCAATGACCCTCTCTAAGCCTTATATAAACTCCGAACCTAAACCCTCCAAGTAGGGTCTAAGGCTTGGAGTTCAGGATTTTGGATGAGGGTCACGAGCTAGCGGCATGATTCTTTGTGTGGCAGGTCCCGGATAGGATTTAGGTCATAGGGCTTTGGGCATAGCGTGGAATAAAAATTGCAGTGCTGTAAGTACCTGAACCACAAAAGTATGTAGAATAATGGCCTTTTGGGCTATATTTAGGGGTTTTGGGCTATCACTTTACTTACTTTTGGTGTCCAGGTATGCAAAGCATCCATGAGGGTGGAGCTGCAATACTGTACCTTCATAGGTGGACTATATTGGGGTTATATTGGGATAATGGAAAAGAAAATGGAAACTACAGGGATTATAGGGGTTATATAGGGACTATTCGGGTATATATTGGGGTTGTATTAAGATAATGGTGAAGGCGGTTGCGTGGATTTCTCGATGCTTACTGCATCTTAGATTGTGGACGGGATTTGTCTCAGCCAGCGCTGCTGTCAGGCTTCACCGTTTGGAGTCGTGTTTAGGGTTTGCGCGTTTAAGGTTTTAGGGATCTACATAGGGCTTAGGATTGAGGATTTTGGTCTTGAAGCCCCCCGCTGGGCTTACGCAGAATAAGCCCGGCCTAAACCTAAACTGGTTCTACGTAACTGAGAAATTCAAGAAAAAGGGTGGTCGCCGTAAATAAACTTTCCAAAAACAATCTTGACAAGCTCCCAAGCATTCGGCCCTTCTAGGAACGTGACCTACACGGGCATTTCTTAACTGGCGCCTTTGCTCCGTAAACTGACTGCGCGCCATCATAGTTCCCGACAAGGATGCAAACCCACTCTGACGAAGTTTTTAAAACCGGGAACATGAGACTGGTAGCCCTGACCCCAAAACTACTGGAACCCCATAAATATTCTCATATGACCCTAGTAGGGTCCTAGTTTCAGAGGTCGGGGGATACCAAAATCCTCTCATTAACATTGAAGGAGCGTGGCTGCTCTTATCTCGCGGCAACTCAAACCCCCAAGTCAGCCCATCCAACCGCTCAGATTGCTCAGAATGGTGAGGTAAGGGACGGTGGTGTTTTGGAAATGAGCCCAAAAACAAGGAATCTAGATAGGGATGCTTTAGCCCACCTACCCTCATCCTGGCCATATACCCTAAGCCCTAGGCCCTAGACTGCTGTAGACTGGGAAAGTTTCAGACGGTGAGCTGATTATGGTCCATAATAGTGACACAAGATTCCCCGTAGCATCCCCAGTAAACCCAAACCCCAAACCCTACTGTTGATACTAAAAATCCTGCATGACATGAATATACTATTCCGTAATTTGCAAGGTATAAGGTGCTTAGGGTCACGCAGGATTTTGAGTATCCAACGTGGGACTGCCTGGAATGTCCCCAATAAACCCCATTGCGCCTGCTCCAGGTAAGCCCTTAGGAAGTCGGACTCATCAAGCTGGTTGTTGCCGCATCCTCGCACGCCCACTCATAGGGAGCTTGAGGGGGGGGGGGTTCAGGCTTTAGGGCTTAGAGTTTAGTGTTCAAGGTGTAGAGTCAAGAGTTCAAAGGTTGAGGGTTGGGGGTTGAGGGTGTAGGGCCTGGGTTTTATGGTTGACGGCCAGTTTGTCTGCGTTTGGGGGTCGGGCAAGGGGACCAGCTTCCATATATACATGTATGTATACACACACATATGTATATATATGTATACACGTTTATCTGTATTTCTGTCACCTCGAGGCTGGGGTGCGAAAGATTTTGAGGCTGCTTCAAGGCTTACTATGTGGACCGGCAATCTGACAACCGGAACACCATTCTGCAACAACAGTGCCGAAACACATGCTTGGCACAACCAGCTACGCAACGCTCTAGAACGCCTTGGGGGGCTCATAATGAAATAACGTAAGCTAAACTCTCAACCCTGTATGATCCCAAAATAATCCCTATATCATATACATATAAATCCTGGCGCGGCAAGGCACGACAAGCTCAGATTGTTGCGGCTTCAGGAAAGGCGAAGTCTCTTGTGTCGGCCTGTCCTTTGACATGGATACTCTTACCACCCTCAGGTATCTCTCCGTAAGCCATGCAATTAATGAACCTGTCGAACTGCGGGAGCCAAGTGAAGACACGGATCCTTGTATAAATTACTCGGTCCGAGCCATGTTCTCGAAGTAGTCTTTGCGCCTCCACGAAAGCATACAACCTGCGATTGTCGATGGACCACAAACGGCCACTCATCTTGACCACATCAAGTATTGCCCGATCCTCTTTTGAAGGTCCATTCAGAAACAAGCAAGCAATCAAACCTCCTGCATGTGCACAAATCAGCAATGAGCACGCCATGCAAACTGAAGTTCGTGTAAGAGGCTTTAAGCATGCCTTTCTCAAACACATTGACACGACATGCTGTTCAAATCAACACAGACCCTTGGATTAGGGACCCTGCTATCTCATGCTCCGGGGTCCTTTACCCTTGCTGTTCATGCAGGTCTTGAAGATCTCCCAGAGCTTGTGCTGCCTGGTGGAGTGGAGCCATCATGAGGCCTTGATGATACATGTAGAAAGGGTCATAGCAGTGGCTTTCATAGGATTGTCCAGGTCTACAGAGCACGAGAAACGGACGTAGTAAGTTAAGTCCTCAGTGAAAAAGGTCACGTACGTCAATCGGATCCTGCTGGCTGGATCTTGGTAAGGAACTTGTTCTTTGCCGAAAACATGTGCTAACGAAAAGGAGGGCACACCTAAACAATAGGATGCATGCAGTCGAACTGCCTGCACACAATCGATTCAAGACTGATGCAATGAAGCCCTGCTGAAGTTAGGGGCCCAACATGATCCCATGACCTGTCGCAGACAAGAACCAGGCATTGCCAAAATGTCGTTACAAATAAGGCCCCCGTATACCTCCAACAGGGTATGATCAATAACACAAGGACCCCAGAAGCACCCAAGATTCTGAGAAGCCCCGAAAAAGTGAAGTACCCCTGAAATGGACAAAATGAGAATGGCGGCCTGCTTTGGGCCAGTCAACCCCTCAGAACTACTGCAGATGTAGGCAATCTTGCACCACTTAGTACCAAACAAGGTAATTTATTACCGCTATTGAGGCTCTACAGGGTGAGTGCAGAAATTTTCTCCATCCAGAGCACCAAGACTACCAAGATAAATCCTTGTAATTCATGCTACGGACTGTCACTGCTTATCATCCTCAACGAAACCTGAAATGTTCAAGGGCTTTCTGAAGGTTCCAGGCCTCTCCTCATAGGTTTGGGGGTCAGACCTTAACCCTGAAAGGAAACGACGGTCATCCGCCTCATGATGAGGTAGCGCGGGTCTGCAAGGAATACCTGGAGAAAGTTGATGGAAGCTTTCAACCCTGTAGCCCTTGCTAAAAGGCCGGAAAGAACAAGTGCCAGCATGCAAGACATGTTCGGGAGGTCAGCTCTGAAGGGATTAATATGTCGGGGCTTCTTAGGAAGGGGAGCCCCTGGGGACCATAAGATATGTGGGTAGAGGCTACAAAAGGATCATGGGAGGTCCCGATCAATGATTCTCTAATTAAGGGTTATCGTGACAGACTCACATATGGTTCTGATCCAGCTAAAACGGTACGCAAGCACGACCTTTTTCGGGAAGAAGCTCGTGACACCTTGCTTAGTTGCCTCCAGAATCAGAAACTCGCCATGTGGAAGCACCTCTACAGTGCCGGCGAAGGGTTTAGGGTTTAGGGTTTCTACCCATGTGGTGGTTGTGACTGGATGCATGGATACCTAGCTTAGCTCCGATCTTACAAGGTATGCGCTGGTGCATGTCCCCACCCCGCGCCCAGCCTTCAAGACATGTATAAACACAGAAAGTTCAGTATTATTGAGGGAAGAATTTCAGCTGCGAACCGAAATCCTATACACCAAATCCTAAACCCTGAACCGTAGGCCCCATCCCCAAGTCTTAAACCTCTACAGCACAAGCCTATAAACCAAATCCTAACTCCAAATCCTGAACTGTGAACCCGAAGCCCAAACCCAAAAGCCTTAAACCTCCATGGCATGTTGAGACCTATCGCTGGCCATACAAAATCCCTTCAGCGCACCGCCGTCTTGCCGAAGCGTCGCGTGCCGTTGATGGGCAGCCTAGGCAGGAAGGGGGGGGTCGGGTTTGCAAGCAAAAGCTCAATCAGAGCGGGCGAAGGCTAGCTTTTTGAGCTACAGTCTAAACCCCTACCTAGTATCCCCCTTCATAAGCCCTATAGTATTACCCCATATAATCCACTAAAACCCCCCCTTTAAAAAGTCTCGACTATAGCCGTTTCAGCCCACATCCCGGTTGGCAACTCTAGGCATGGTGCTGGGACAAGCCATCCGGTTAAGGCTTTATGGCTTAGGCTTTGGGATGTTGGGGTGAAATTTAGGGTTAGGGATTTCTGCCTTGGAAATCAGGAGGTTAAGGGGCTTAGGGGGTTTTGCGCCTTAAAGAGCTTGGGTCTAAGGCTTTATGTAGGGCTGAGGGGTCTAGGCCCTGGGCTTACGTTCTGGGATGCAAAGCTTCTGAGGGTTGGGAAGGCATGGAGTCTACTGGGCAAGAAATTCGTGAATATTCAGACTTCTGCCTTGCGACTCCTAAGCATCACAACCATTGAATTTGCACTCACTGTTGTCGTAGTACTGCTGATGGGAAAATTGAAGAGAAGCTCAATGATCACAATCGCAGACTAGATGCCAAAGTCGTGTTCAGTCGCAATGCTACACGTCTTGCGCAGACCCTAGAAAGGATGCAGGATAATGAGCAAGGCATTGAATCATGGATGAAGAGGGTTGCATACCAGAATTTATTCGAGAAAGGACCTCAGGAGATGTTGCTTCGGACTATTTCCGGTACCATACAGTACTAGGGTTAAGGGTTTAGGGTTTAGGGTTTATATTTCGGGTACCGTACCGTACTAGGAGCTGTTCTAAAGTGCAAGTTTCACGGAGCTGCTCCTTCTGCTGTGAGGAATATTGTGGAAATAAAGTGGCTTAAAGAAAACACCCGTTTTCTAAGTCCAGGGACATGCATGGGCATCAAGGTTCGGTGTCCACTAGAGGGGCTTAAAGCCACCTTCACAATAAACCCTAAACCTCAAAGGGGTGGCTCTGCGGCTTTAAGATCTGCGTGCACCCTACAACGAAACCGAAACTCAGATCAGCGCCTGCCTTGGTTTCAGAAAGTCAGATGGGAGTTGCTCAAAACAAAGGGGCCTGGAGATATGTAGGGATTACCAGGGATCATAGGGCCGTAGGGGTCCTACTAGCGCTTGTAGCACTTGTACGGGCTTGTTTTGAAAATTCGCAGATGTTTTTCCGAATCCTCGCGCCATTAAAACCTGTGCATTCTCCGTGCAAGTCCTCAATCTCCCCCAAACTCACATGGAACCCATATAGACCATAGTCTGTAGTCATGTTGGAGTCCCTCAACCCTAAATAAGCCCTCAACCTGAGTGTACATATCACAGGGGCCTGAAATAGTCACAAGTATCATCTGAAGTACCCTAAACGAAAACCTTTCATCTGAAGTACCCTAAACGAAAACCTTTACCGGGAATCTAAGACCATGATTTTGGCATTTATCTATGCCCCTACAGTGAACAATCCCCATATGGCCTATATGTAAGCCTACATGTATCTGGTTTCCCTTTCATGTTCCATTTGTTTTTCCATTTGATCTTTCGTTATTGGACATGGTATTGCTAAATGTTTAAGCCCCCTAAACCCTGAACCCTAAGCCCCTACAATACCTCTGAACAAGTCCAGCCATGGAACAGCCAGGGCGGCAGGAGCGTGAAAAGGCAACGACTGCCCTCTCGAGTCATTTCCTGCCGAGGCAGCGTGGTAAAAACGTGCTGGGTGGCTTAGGGGGTCGGCATTGGGGTTGAAGGTCGAGTGTGGAGAAAATATGGGATTGAAGGTCGAGGGCGTTGGCCTCAGCCAAATTCTTGAAGCTTTGGCTACGGCAGTTGACATGCTTCTTTGGATTAAAGATGATTCAAGACATTTTGGCGCTTGCAGGACAACCAGAGCTTTCCAGCTGATCCCTGTTTCATTGTCATCCTACTGAACGAATTAAATCCATAGCTGTTTGTGGTTGAGGCTACAGCAACCACAGTTGATTGTCTACATTCAAAGGTTTCCCTGGGATTCAAGTCAGAGCCTCCTTGTTGACAGTACCTATCTGGGCCACAGCACTTTTTGAGACACCACATCTTGTTGAGTTATCTGGGTAGTTGGTGTGGAGACTGGGTTTTGATGAGGCTCAGCTGCCCGCAGGAAGATTTAAGGGCAGCTTGGTTAGCTAGAGTATAGCGTGCAACTACAGCGCAGCTAGCTGCAGCCACGCAAGGCATCGTACGAGCTGCAACCTGAAACACTGAGCAATTCCCATGTTACCCCTTAGAGGATTGGCTGCCACACTGGTCTCTTGCGATCCTGGCAAAACAACTTTCTTCGCATGCAAGTGCGCTGCAGTTTAGAGGGCCTTTGGGCTAAGTCGTACATCAGGTACGGCACGCAAATTTGAGGGCTAAGTTGGAAGTTGCCAACTTGGTACTGCAAATTGCTGCGGAGCTTGCGATAGATGCCGCCCCTATACTGCACAGCATCCTGTGTAAGCACACAGGGCATTGAATTTTGAATTCCGTGCTGAATGGCAGATGTCAGGAAGCCTTGCCAATTCCAGCAATCTCCATACACGTCTTCTTGCAACAGTCTAATTACAACCTTGCCCTGCTGTACTGCCCATTGCTCCTTCATGAGATCTCTTTGCGGCACTTCTGTGGCCTTGGCTAGGCCACCCCATCCGCGCCCAAAGTGGCCAATGTCACCATCTAACTCGATAAGGACCGTGTCATTGTACAAACCAAAATCAAAACGCAGCAGGCGCGACGTCGTTGGGTTTGCGCAACCCGCCACCTGGAACGTCACATTTGAAGCAACGCTGTCTAGCCATCGCTTTAGCTTTGTCTCAGTTTTCTTGGCGCACAGACAACCAGGTGACTGCCCAGCTTGCAGCTTTCCCAATGCAGTGCCACGCGAACGGTAGCCACACTCTCGGCAGTCAACATCTACCTTGGAGTACGCGCTCTTGATGTTGGCCTTCCACCAGGCCCAGTCCATGCGGCTTGCATCGTACTGTTCACCAAAGCGGTCCTTCAGCAGAGCAAGGCACCGAGCATGCCCTTCTTGGCTGGACCATGGAACCGCCCCATTGCAAAAACAACCAGGTGCCCCACCAAATTGAAGATTTGCTAACTTGGTGCCACGCGAACGGTAGCCACACTCTCGGCAGTCAACATCTACCTTGGAGTACGCGCTCTTGATGTTGGCCTTCCACCAGGCCAAGTCCATGCGGCCTGCATCGTACTGTTCACCAAAGCGATCCTTCAGCAGAGCAAGGCACCGAGCATGCCCTTCTTTGCTGGACCATGGAACTGCCCCATTGCAAAAACAACCAGGTCCCTGGACAACTTGCAGATTTGCCAACATGGTGCCGCGCGAACGGTAGCCACACTCTCGGCAGTCAACATCTACCTTGGAGTGCGCGCTCTTGATGTTGGCCTTCCAC